CTTTGTTGTTCCGTACATGACCCATAATTTAACAGAAATGATTAGGGTTTAGAGCAAACATAGCGCACTGCCGTATACTCTTAAACAATACATCTTACGTTCGAGTAATCCTTGCCACAGGTCTGGTCCCTGTTTATTCACTTTAAATCACTTTTCATTCGGCTATACTAGCATGTATTTTGATCAGTCAAACACTGCCGCGTGCGCTGCTTCCTTCGTTATTCGCGTGCATATTGTAAATAATTCTGATCGAAGTAACGTACCCGTTCGGACAAGTGTGTGCTTTCCGTGTGCAGCCTTTGCTTCATTAGCGACGAAACAACTGCTCCAGTACAGTAGCCAATGTAACGCTTCAGTGTCATGCGACTTGGAAGGGTGAGGCACCCAGACCTCCGCAACATTTCGTACCCGCAGGGTGATTTAGCTTGCCACATTATGGCCTGCCTGATGGTCACCTCTTTCCAACGGTGATTTTTCTCACGCAGGCATTGCAATTGCTCCTTCAAAAATTCAGCCTTCTTGTCGTTCTCGTCCAGCATTTCCTGATGATGAAAGGGCAGTTGAAATGCGTAAATCACGCGCAAGATAACATACTGGAAGAAAGCGGAAGTGCAGGGGAGAATGGAAGCTTGACCCGCTGAAACATCGTAGAGCAGGGAATGCCGGCGCATCCAACAATTCGACATTTACGTACTGGACTTGCCCTTGTCAAGACAAGTTTAGATGTTGTGGGAGAGTGAGCAAACGTTCACACACACGCTACTAAAGGAGGCTGTTGCTGTCCTGACAAAGAATAGTGCACCTGATTGTCGAAACCTTGCATTTGGCATCATTCCTTATTCAACAATTCATAATCGCGAGAAAAGATATGCGTTTACTCTTAAGACAATAATAGATGTTTCATGTCACCACGTGGACATTCAATTGCAGCTATGCTACATTAATGAATTGCGCAACTTCAGACTTGCGTCATGTTCAGTAACCGGCCACCGACTCACACATACGGACTAGCGGAAACTGTTCACTTACACTTTCCAAACCATTCCTTCCTTTTTGAATGCAATGCTGCTCGCTCAAGTTTATAAGGCAGACATCACATGTGCGTCAAGCGTGGCTTCCTGTACGAGCATAAACCGATCGGCCCATAGCACCAACACAACACAGCTTGCAAATTACTGTCTTTCCAGTTGTCAGTCCAATGTCCCTAATTGTTTGCGACGACAGAAATTTGAACTCGTTGTTCGCAGGATAAAGGAATAAACTCGGGGTGCGCCAATCACGCAAGGGGGTACACACCGACCTTCGTATCTTAAACACTTGCTCATGTGCGCGCTTACCCACCAACCTTCTTTTATTCCGTGTCCTTATGTCAGGCCTACACCTTCGTATGACCAGAAAGATTGCCAGCATCGGCGTACACTAAAATGTCACGTAAATTTATATGAAGAAGAAAATCTATAAACAGAGTTTCTCTCGAGCAGACATCATGACAGCGGACTTGTCATCCTTAAGGCTATAATTGTATTTCAGTCTTTCAGAAAACAAGCCTGCTTGTCGAAACGCCGCCTCGAAACAACTTTGCTAAAACTACTGATTAAGCGAGTTGGTTCATGATTATTTTCAGTGTTTGTGTGTGTGTAAACAGCGATTAAAGAATGGGAACAACCCCTGTTCACAGGTTTTTTACTGCAAGCTTCCATCCTCCCCTTTCTGACGTTTCTTACAAAAAAGTATAGGGACACTAAGTTAATAGACTGATAAATGAGTACCTGATAATTCTCTATCGTTCCTGTTCCGATCATACGACTATTAGAACAGAAAAAATTAAGACTAGGTTTAATGTTCTGAGTTTGGCGAACAATCTTCGACACGTGCACGTCGCTTTATGTTGCGTCGCTCCTTGTGTACTTGGCCGCATTGGCTGAGAACATTTCTTTGAAACTTGCTACTTCAGACCTTGCATCTACTAACACAGCAGTCTTAGACATTACCTGAGGCCGTCAAAGTATGACGTCACTGCTAGCCGATGCGCGAGAACTTAAGGGTAGCATCGCCACCTTTACAATCTCTTATAGTTTCGAGAATTCCTTCGCTCACCGGACGTCCTCTCGTAGTACGGGTGATGTTGATAGAATTGACTTACTCCTAAATTGTTATTATGTTCAGAGTCATTTAAAATTAAGTGCGAATATAAAAGGATTAATATAACATTCGTCCACTGACGTAACTGCGTACCTGCAGCGTTAGAGCGCCATTCGCCTCGGCGAGGGCTTTCATCTCGAAAAAATCTTTCTTTAGCTTCTCTAGCTGTGAATGCAAATTACTGTTCATTTCTTTCAGCCTGCTGCACTTCCGCCGCAACGTCTTAGTTGCCGCGACCAGGGAGCGCATCTTCTTCAAACCGATCGACGTTTGCGACGTCATGGAGCGCCGCACTGGCCTCTTCTGGTGTTCCCCTTGTATAACTGAACTACAGTCCTCCATGTTGTCCTGACTTGATGGAAAATGCAACCACTCGGCCTCTTGTGCAGTTTCAATTGGGTTTTCAGAACTATATACTTCCCCAGGCTCCGCTGATGCTCGCTCTTCTTGAGAAGAATCTGCGTTGGACGTTCCCCTGTTAAGCCGAAAAAATAGCGAAGCATGACAGATATATTGTCCCGCTAAACGCATAAGGGAATACTGCTAACATTATTCTTATCCGTTGTTGTGTTAGACTTCAAGTTTTACTTACAGTATTTTTACTTGTATGGGTGCCAGCGTTGTTTCCCCCTGCGTTCGTTTTAGCCGCTTTTTCCGCGGCATTGGATCTTGCCCACGTGGATCAGGAGAAGCGGGAAATAAGGAAGGCACGGCTGTGGGCTTCAACATCTTCCTTTTCGTCACTGTTCTGTAATCTTCAGCGGTAAAATGCAGGCTGCATACCTTCGACCGGTCGCTGGGCTCCCAGCGATGCTTTCCTGAACCTTCATCAAAGGTAAAGGCGTATACGCATGGCTAGCAAGATTGCAAAATAACAGTCCATAACACCTTTTTTGTAATTAATTTTTCCAAAATGTAACAAGCCAAATGGGGAGGTTAAGAAAAAGCATAGCCACGATTTTATTCTGGGGAAGTACCTGTATACCCATTTAGTGCATTTTCATATTTTCTCGCAGCCTTTGTAAATGTCTTTTTAGATGACTACATTCGTCGATTGATGTTTAGTGATGGTACGTGGTCGAGTCCAGTGGCATACTTGAAGCCCTTTATTCGAAGAGCTCATTGGCTATACAAGGTTTCATAACAAAGCTGAATTTCCTAATGGCTGCTCAGTAACGAAGCGCGACCCAATACGACAGAGCCGAAACCGAGGCGCACTTGAGCGCCTTGGTCTTGGTTTAGAGCGCAAACCTCTAACCTGTACAATGACTCCGCCGTTGACGACGATGACTTCAGTGGTTTTTGTTCTTTTGCATTCTCCAAAACGAATCTTTGTCATGCATGATGTAATCTCAGATGCAGCACGCACATAAATAGAGTATCTGTCGCTGATTATTCCAGGTTCCTCATTTCGGTTTCACCGGCTGGGTCTCTTAACCCTCACAGAGCCGATGGGCTCATTGCACGAAGGACTTCAATTATGTCATTATACCCGACCGCCTGCCAGCCCTATATAGAGTGAACAGTTAATCGCCACATTTCGTTACCGGCGTAACGTTTCTAATTACCTTAAGTAAGCTTATACAGAAACGAACAAAGCTGTATGGGAAGATAGAGGTTTGAGATGAGAAATACATTTGACCAAATTCGGTCGCTAACTTCAGTGACACCCAGTGTTCAAGAGTTGTCCATCGCTAAACACACACACACACACACACACACACACACACACACACACACACACACACACACACACACACACACACACAGAGAGACAAACTGTGGAGGCAGCACGTAAATATTTCATATCATTAATTTTTTTATGGATTTCGGCGGCATTTGTTGAGGCAGCCTTCGGGAAGGGTGCTCGAACCCCTCGCAACCCACCGCTACGCATTTTTACATAATTTACAGATTTCGTATATTTACTTTTTTCTTGTGTGCTATATTTAAATTTCTTGGCACTATTTGTGGAGCCTGCCATATTAGCCGCGGTACTTTAAAAAAGCTTTCATGTTTTTTAGCTCAGTGAATTAGCATAACACACGGAAATAAAGTTTACTAAAGCACCCTGGTGCTTCTTGCTAGCTTGCAACTCGTTCTGAATTGAAACGACTCTCAAAAACACAAGACTCACCTTTTCTTCCAATTGCCTCGATCCATTCTTCCCGTATGTCTGTGGCAGGAAACTCGTGAAAACTTACTTTACTTTGTTTGCCTTGTTCCGATTTGCAATATGGCACGCAGCAATACACCATACTTACATTTGAGGTGTCAGCTCATCTAAAAAAAAAAAACTGCACGCGGCCACTATTAGAGCTGACTACTGCAGCTATCTGCCGTCTGCAAGTTTCTGCACACGACCTACTGTGTTTCTGCGTATCTTCTGCAATTTGTGTATGCGTATCGTCTGGAACCATCGTGATTCAGTGTGAACAATGAATGCCTAACAATAGTTTTTTTATCTCGTTGGACTACGTTTTCATTCAAGAAATATTTTCATAATAAATTTTCCTTCATTTGTAGAAAAGTTCCCGTCTGCTTGCCACTGTGACCCTTTGTGTGCTTTTTTTACGGTTCTATTTCTGCTTCAAACGTCCACACGAATGCAGCCAACTCTGACGAGGAATCATATCGCTTTATTTGCCATATTTTACACATTCATACACAATTCATGCACAATAAGAACGATTTGCACTGCCACAGCGATGGCTGAAGCAGACGACAGCGAACAGGTGCTGCCTAGCGCCACGCCGCTCGTAGGTGACGGCCCTAGCGGCAGAAGGTATGAACTAGAACGTGGGCGCTGGAAGAGGTGCTCTCTGGGCAGGTCAGGAGTGTAGTAGGTCATGCACAGAACAAGGTATAGTCATGTGCACATCCATGGATGAACCAAGTCTACTACAGAAATTAAAGTTTCGGCGCCTGGAGTGGATGTAGTCGTCAGGGCAAATTAGTCTGGCGGCGGAAAAGTGGGAGATAAATAATGCCCGTTTCGTGCTGCGCACTCGGTTGCTCCAACAGCGTGCTTCGTGGCAAGCGGCTGTTCCGCATCCCTTTGAGCGAGAAAGACGCCGCCCGGCGCCAAGTGTGGCTGGCGATTATCAAGCGAGAGGGATTCGTGCCTACGGCAGGATCACGATTTTGCGAGGTGGGCCTTCCTACACATTTCACAAGCTCGAGGCTGCACTCTGCTTCACTTTTTCAGTCATCCGGTAACACCTGTGGCATGCTATGCGACGGTGTGTATACATTGTGCCGTTATTTACGTACTGTAGCGTGTTTATATTTACCTTTACAGTGGCGAATGGCGCTGGAGTTTGTCAACGCATCTCTGTTGCATGCGGCGATGTTAGCACGTGTGCGCTGCATCGACTTGGGCGGCGCATTGCTTCGCCGGCCGAGTTTGGTAGCTTTCACTCTTCATAGCTGACGTCGGAAGGTTACCTAGTAACATGTAACGCCGTACGTTTGAGCACCGTATAATCGCCGAGGTGCAAGTCAAGAAAGAAAAAAAAAAAACGTGGTTGTTTTTATCAGACATCGTACGCCTTGCGTCCCCCCATTTACTGCGGCCAATCTTTCCACGGCTTCGAATTGAAGACGCAATCGCTGCGAAAGTGTTGCATCCCGCTTTTGTCCTTCGCTGTTTACAAGCCGAGACTGCAGTGAAAGTATCCCGTTCTACGACGTTCAGTCTTTTAAGCTTATCAACGAACACATTGCAGGTTTTAGGAGTGCAAGCAAAATGATGGGTGTCGCGAATGTTTAAAGCCCAAACTCCATAAGCGCGAAAATGCACGCGACAGCGACGAGCGACGCGACGTAGATCGGCGTCGCGCGATCAGTCGCTCGCGCAGGCAAACTCCATTCACGCGACGGCTTCGGCGAGCGAATTCCACTGTTGCTGGCATGAGGCCGTCAACTCGCACCAAGAAAACCGCGTAGCGAGCGGTTTCCAATTTAAAAATAAGATATATTGTTGTGTAATGAAACGGAACGTGTTTCTTATTGCCTTGCAGCATTTTTTATATGCGCATGCGTAATAAACATTGCGTTATTTCTTGTTGCGCATACGTGACCATAACGTGACTCGGGCAGGGTCACGTGCACCTATGTAGTCTTCGTCTTTTCCGGTTTTTCGCTATTGGCTGCTTGAGCCCAGCACTTCCGGGCGATGAGCGACGGTTTCCAAATCTGGAGAACCGAGCGATCGCGCGAAAACGAGCACGCGACACGTCGCGCGAACGCCATGTTTCGTCGCTCATAGCGTCGCTCGTCGCTGTCGCGTGCATTTTCGCGCGTATGGAGTTTGGGCTTAAGACCCCTGTTAGGTGGTGTGTATAAATACTAGTCATGGTGGCAACATTGCAGTACACTGCAGTAATTCACTTGGGCCTCTCCACAAACAAAATTAATCAGGGGTGCTTGCCCCCTCCCCTCTCGCCATAAAGCAGCACAAGCATTCAAAGTGTACGAAACCGAGAGAACATGAGATCCTCGAAGCATACAGGGTATCAGAAATATGCACAACATACGTTAGCTGGCTTTGAGTGTTCATTTTTTTGGGGGGGGGGGAGGGGGAGGTAAAGAGCTTGGGTTTTTGCAGGTTTGGCTGGCTTAGTAGCTCAAGCGCCTGAGGAAAAAAAAAAAATCCTATAACCTTTTGTGGTTCTCATTTTCAGATTTCTCCAGCTGACTCGCTGTGTATTGTCGGTATTGTTTCTTCGTCGCATGTGTTTGTGCTGCTTCAGTGCTGACATGTCGGAGTCTAAACTAGCTGATGCAATTGTCAGGTTAAAGATTCAGAAGCCGAAAAACCATGCTAGGCGTTCTTGTCACCATGTGTGGCACATGGCTTGGAAAATTGTTTGACCACTGTTTATCTCATCGTGTTTGTGTGACGAATGGCCACATGTTTAAATTGTAGGACTCATTGATTGCTGTTGCCAGAGCAATAGGGATATTGTGTTGAGACTGCGTATCTCTCATGACACATTTAGTATTTTTAAAGCAGCTAATCAAATTAATTGGTGCTTAAAATGGGCCCAGCATCTGTAGCCCCATGTTTATGTAGCACTTCACTTGTCTGTTCATTTTTCTATTAGCATATAGTTGCGCGCTGTATGAGTTGCAAACATGGGAGCACGTGGCCTAACGAGTTCAAAGATTGTGCATGGCTTCCTCTAGCCCGTATTCCCACTAGTAAACGAGTTCTCTCACGTGGGTATGATGTTATGATCCGGAATAAAATGTAATATTTACTTGCTGAAATAAAAACAAGTTGAAGCAATGTGCAACCTTTGAACTCGTTAGTCCACGCACTCCTGTGTTGCAAGCCATGTTGAGTGCACCTGTATGTATATAATTGTGCTTGCTACAGCTCATTATCAAGATGAAACTTCAGAATGCTTTGTTAAGGCACCACAGCTGAGCAAAAATATTTCATTGTGTTGTCTTGTGGGCTCGTTCAAAAGTGGTTATGTGGCTTTCTTAGTTCTTTTGGATATATTGTAAATTTTCAGTAAAGGTTAAACCAGTGTTACCTGGGTGTTTTTGGTTTTGATCAGGGCCACTCTGGATTGCGTTTAGTCAACAATGGTTGCTGGTCCATGGTCCAAGCTAATGCAGATATAATTTGGCACAGACGTCTGCCAAATCTCAATTGGACCTAATCACCATAGAAAGTGACTATGTAGCAAAGCCTGATTCAGGTTGAGCCTTATTGCAATTGGCCCTTGTTGCAATAAGAAATTCCCGTTGGACACTAGTATCAGTTGCTGTCTTTTACACAGATATTTATTGCTCTCTAGGACTTGAACAGTCCGGTGTAATTATTCTGACGAGCAGCTTATCAAGCAAGGCAGGCTCTGACAACTTTCTGATGATCGGGATCAAGTAATAAAGATTAAGGTATAGTGCCTCATATTACAGAGTCTGAAGTTCACCTCTGTATTAAAGTCAAAGAATGCAAGTGACAATGGTTTACATCCTTACTTTTTCATTTTATCTGAAAGGACGACTTTGTGTGCACATGGCAAGCATTTGTGTAGGAAACCAAGAGTGTATGTGACATTCAAGGGATTAGTAGAAAGTCCAAGCGAGGTAGTCTGTCATTTGCAGCTTCTGGTACATTTAGGCTGCAACCATAATGTCAGTAGTTGGGATCGAAATGTTCCAAGTGATTTCAGTGCCCAAGCACTAGAACAAAACTAGATTGGTTCAGGCAGTGTACACAGATTTCTCTGCTGTTCCTGAACTTAAGCTTGACTTACTATGGTATTGTTAAATGACACCAACACCTCCTAGAAAAACTATGCCTGGAACGTCGCCCTCTTTTCAATTGGGAGCTTCCTGCCAGCAAGCGATCTTCGAAGCCATGCCTCCTGTCGCGTGTTGCGACCAGCCGCTACGTGCGACCGCTCCCCTCCGTACCGCTCAGTCATGTGACACTACCCTTCCGCTCTGTCAGGTGACATCACAGCTGCTTGGAGGCAACTGTGATAGCATTGCTGTGTTCACTGGGGGCGGTCACCAGAGGCGTTCGCATTCGTACCGGAGGGGAAGGAGAAAATCTGCGGGTAGGGCAGTGCGTTCGCGGCTCACGTTCCAGGTATAGTTTTTTTTCTAGGAGGCATTGATGGAATAATGACCCGCTCTCTAAGCAAAATAAAAAAAATTCTCATCAATTATGTGTGGTTCAAACGAGTAGAAAGGTGCGAATAATCCACTTGCCAGAAATCCTTGTTGATCTTTTGTCTGTCTGGCCATCTTAACAATGATAACTGCACCACTGAAAGAGTTTATCAGTGCATTGGTAGTTGATCGTAGGAATGTGGAATGTTTAATCTGAATCTCAACGTGACCAAGGAGTACTAGTTTGCACACATGAGCACATTTCAAATATTCCAATGCATGAAGTATGTGCTGTGACACTTGAAAATGTAGCAATATTCATTCCTGTGAACCTAGGCATAAGAAATCGGAGCATGCATTGTTGAACAGATGCAACCCCAAAAATTTACAGCAATGCTTTGCAGGCTCCAAGGGGTGAATTGTATGGGGCTTGTATCTTTGTACTTTTCTAATTGCACTTTCAGGGAATAGTCTTTTGTAATATTCTTGAACACATAACCATGTAGTCAAAAAAAAAATCAAGTACCGAAGAAAGGAACATACACAGAAGGCCAAATAGCAGTGTTCTCTATCTTCCTTCTCCCGGTCCTTTTTTGGTGCATTCATGTGTTTAGGAATGCATCAATCAGTGTAAACTGGAGTGTTACATCATAGTATGCTATGCAAACTAACAATGAATCGAGACATCAACATTTTGCATTATATGTGACAATTATTGTCTATTAGAACTCCATTTGGAAAGGCTATCCAAGACACAGTTTGCTTCATGCACTATTTGATTCGATCCCAGAAACACTGTCCTCATTACGTAATTGTCTTTATCAACAGAGTAATGGTGAAATTCGAATCCAAATCTTTATCTCTAGTTTTTGCTACAAGTACTACTGACTGGGTGAGTTGGTGCATAATAAAATGATATTGCTGAAGCGAAGCTCAGTTTGAGCATGAAGAAAAGATACTGTGTAGTAAAGAAGGGGAAAAGAAACAGCCGACAATGTGAGTGCTAGTAAAAGCGCTAACAGTGCTCACACTGTCGTCTGTTTCTTTTCCTCTTCTTTACTGCATAGCATCTTTTCTTTATGCTCAAACTGAGCTGCGCTAAAGCAATATCATTTGGCTACTGGTTTACAGCCCAGCATTTGTGGCATGGTGCCTCACTAGCTTCAGCAAATTTCCGAATATGAGCATATTATTGCTATGTGTTTTTATACACTTAATTCTTCAAAGAGTGACAAAGGTATCGTTATGTGACAGGCTGCTGTTGTGAGTGAATCCCGTAGTACAATTTTGCAGACAGCTTAGGCTTTGTATAACTGCCGAGTGAATGCATTGTCTGCAGGATCATTTTGAACCGGACCAATTTGAGCAGTGCAGGGCAGATGGGCGCAAGCTGCTCAAGTGCAATGCTGTGCCGACCATTCCAGGTCCTGGAACATTGGCAGGTCGCAAGAAAAGATGGCGCCTGAACAGGCGGGCACCAAGCGCAACCAAGAGGAGGCGCTCTTCTTCGGTTTCTGTGCATGGTCAGTGATACATACCATGATTGGATTAGCGGCTGCAGTGCCCAGTGAAAGGTATTGTAGAAGAATAGAGTCTGCTTCCGAAGTCAATGTTGGGTCAAGAATGCAACGTGTAAAGACTGGTATATGGTGCTTAACGTGCCAAGGGGACTCCGGCTGGGAGACATCACAGTGGGGGGCTCGTTAGCATGCACTGACTTCACACAGTACAAGGGTGTCAAGCATTTTGCCTTTGTTGAAATTTGACTGCTTTACTTAGGACTGCAAGGGGTCTGCAGCCAAGTGCCACAACTGCAGCACCTCCACAGTAGCCCATAGATGCATAGCATATCTTAAGGTAAATAATACTGTAAGTCGTATTACAGATGCAGTATCAATGGATGTCTTTTGTCTGTGTTTTGTTGAAGATATCTGACGGCAACCTGCTTGGTAGCTTGTTGGCTAAGATATCATGCTGCTAAGCTCAAGGACTTGGTTTCGATTACCCTAAAAGTCTGAGCAAGCACACCCCCTATGGGGAAGGATAATACAACCAGATTTGAGAGGGAGGGTGCTTGTTCAGCGTCTTACGGTAGTTGCCACGGCCATCACATTTATGTGTGGGGGGGGTGAAGCTACAACAACCATTGGATTAAGGTGCTTCAGAATCCTAGGCGGCTGGTTTTCAAGGCACAGTTTCTGGTGGGCTCGCACGCCAAGCACTATTCACGTGCAACAGACAATTTGGTGCAGGTATGAGCTCTTGTGCAATCCTCTAGAAAGGTGGGGAAGTTGTAATCTTGCTGGCATTTGCATATGAAATATGTCTTTTTTTTTTACCAACACATGTTCCCCATAGAGCACATGCTTGCATTCACTCCCACTTGAAAGCGTAAGCTGCCACGGCAGAGTGTAGGCTACTAACTTATTATGTTTCTTCGTTATCTTTGGAATGTTGATGACAATCACTGTGGTGCGTCTGCTCGTTTTAGTTGGTCTACTTTTATTGCCATGATGCATGTTTCCCATGTGATTTTTCGACACTTGCACAGAAGACGATGATGATGAAGAGGAGGAGGAAGCGGAACGCCTTTCTGAATCCGACGCAGCAGAAGCTGTTGGCGTAGTGAGCCCAGCAGAGAGAAGCAGCTCCTCCGGATGGGCCGATGCCCTGACATACAAGGCCTTGCAAATACGTTTTGCAGCTGGCCAACGAGGCTACATGGTCGTGCGCGAGATGTGCCTTGGATTCCCTACTGAACTGCAGCTGCGGCACTGCATCAAGGCACTTCCCTTTCGACCTAGTATGGAAGAGAGAGAGATAAGACCGGTTGGAAGGCCACAGGGCTGTGTTATAGTTACCGCAGGTAGATCTTATCAAACAGGTCGAGGACAGTCTCGGTAGAAATCGCCTTGCTATTTTTGACATTGTGGGGCATGCAGACGAACAGGATGAAGATAAGGTAACACAACACAAGCGCTGTTTGTGTTGTGTTAGCCGCTCTGGTTAATGGGAATAGGAAGTTTGTGCCGGCTGAAGGTATGTCTTTTCGAATTAGGCCATTAGGAGAAATACTGCTCACAATACATGCAACACTGAGCTAAAAACCCAACATCAATCGTGTTGGTAAGGATGTTGCAGTAATGGGTTCCAAATAAGTTTTGACCACTAAGGATTATTTGATGTTGCTACGTTCGGTGCATAGCTATCGTGGCAATTGCTTATGTAGCACTGTAACGGGGAACTGAACCTGCCATGTTTTGTTCCACAGTTGAAGGCCATAGTCTGCTTACCGAGGCATTATGGTGTTCAGAACCCACGCACAGGCTTTCCCATCCATAAAATATACTATTGCAAGAAGTGCAGTGGCACTTGGAGGCAAAGCTTTATATCGTTTGTTGCAGTTTTGATGCTCCATATATCGATTTCAGTGACTTGGATTTTCCCTTCCACGAGCATATGTTCCCGATTGTTAAAGAAGGCATTGTGTGTACTGTATTTACTTGAATGTATTGGGTATTTTTTCACCAGATTTGATACCTGTAGTTCACCCCCCCCCCCCCCCCCGTTATACTCGAATACCGAAATTCCTGTGGCGCGCAATCTTTTCATTTTTGTTTCTTTCTTTATTCTGAGAAAGTCGCCTCTCACATTATGATTTGGAGTTGCGTTAGAGTCAAGCAAATATCCTAATTCTTGGGCAAGTTCCTGACAATAGGACAAATGAACTATGAAATGCCATGTGTGAACTGTTTGTCTTTATGGGATTGGGGTATGCCATTTTCCTTGTATGGGGGATAACAATAGGGTCCTATCATCTTTCACTTTGTGGTAGTGTTCATGTCAAAACACTTCAGTGGGAAACAGCCATATTTTCTTTGCAGCTGTTGTGTGCTAATGAGTGAGTCTGTGTCTGATAGTCATGAAATTTATTTGTAAAGGTTCTAGCACAATGCACAATTATGCTAGTGTCATTAGTCATATAGTAAAGTTGTTGAGATGAGAAGCACCATAATGTGCCGTGTGCACAAATTTCGGTTAAATTGAAAGTACGCTTCTTGTATTGGGGATTGCATCTGAGAAGAAATGGAATAGTGTGGATGCTGCAATACTGTCCATGGTGCGACACACGAGTCACATGCTCCTGTGAATATTTGTCTACCACGGGACACCTACTATGAAACAACAAGCAACGCAGCTGCCACAACACCGTTAAGAGTGTAGAGAGAGAGAGAGAGAGATGATGGTCCCTAGTGAGCCACTCTGAGGGGGTGTTATACCGTATATACTCGCATAATGATCACACTTTCTTTTTTTCAAAAAATTGACTCCAACTAAGGGATGCGATTATCACGCGGGGAAAATTTTCCGTGAAAAAATATTCTGAGCACCGGAAACTGCAAAAAAGTCTCTAATCAGAATTCTTACGATAGCTATCATGAACATAACCAAAAATAAAAGTAAATTAAGGCCTACCTTTGTAATAAAATGCACGCATTACGCAGGAGCTACATGCATGTCACACTTCCCTTTTATTTTTTACCTGTCTGACCCCCTAACAATCATTCCTACTCCGAAGCATCACTGGCGTCAGTGTCGTTGCCGCACGATTCCCTGTCGGAACCGGCAGTGTCTTCACTGTCCCACAGAGGGTCATCTTCCGTTCCGTCAAGCGCATTGGAAATACCAGCGACAGTCTGTTCCGCCGCATGAAGCATGTCGTCCAGCCGGAACTGGCGTGGAATTCCTTTGTGGCTATTTCCAGCCTCCGGGAAACTGCACGCCTGCGTCCGTATCACGTCTAATGACACTGCATAACCGTCCTTGCGCATGTCCTTCACGTATTCGAGGACTGCCTTTTCAATGTCGGGGAACTTTCCTGATTTGGGTCTGCGGAAAGCCCATCACGTGCTGTTAGTAGCCATAAGCATGTCGCGCTGTTTTTTCCAATATTGGATCAGGATTTCGTAGAGGCCGAAATGTCTGCCGGCAGCGCGGTTGCTGTGCTCTAGCGCGTAGTCAAGCGCCTTCAGCTTGAACGCGGCAGTAAAGCTCGCATACCGCCCCATGGTGAAACGGTGCTTCAACAGACGATCACAAAGCACACACAAAAAAAATGTGGTCTCGGGAAGAAAAAAAAAAAAAAACATTGTTGCGTCATGAGCACAGGTCGACCAACAGGCGGCCGCCGCTGTAACAGTGCGGGATGTCAAAACAAGCAGGGCGGCTGACGGTGCGAAGCACTCCGTGGAGCGAAGCCACCGCATTTTTTTTTCTTCTTTTTGCGTCAGTTATGGAGGTTGTGAATACGTCACGCTCTTCAAAACAGTTTCTTCCATCTAAATAAGGAATGTTTTCATTTAAATCAGTAAATTTTGCGGCATTAGCATAGTGATGCCCGCTTTCAGATCACAGAAACAATGATAGGCGCGTTCAGCTAAACTTGGCACATGACATGTTGATGCGGCAAGTTCAGGGTGCTATCATTACGCGGGGAAAAAGAAAAGTCGAATTTAGATGACAAAGTTTAGGGGTACGATCATTATGCGAGTGCGATCATTACGCGAGTAAATACGGTACGCACCTTGCAAACTTTTTTGTCTGTTGGCATGTCTGTTGCACCTTGCAAAGGGCAAGAGATCACAGAGAAACCAAACAGCCTCTAAACACATAATATTGATGAGAGTGTTGCAGGATGCTGTCAACTCAGATGAGCACTTAAACACCAAAATGCGTTCAAAGCTACGTTGACCACTAATAATTAGTCAGAGTTTCTTACATAAGCAAGACAACGAAACAACACAAACATCTCAATCTTGACACTTAGTCGTCGAGGTTCCTGTTAACGCATGGTACACAGTGGAAGGCAGGCTTTTCAACAATCGCAATACGTTATTGAAAGTAGGTGTGTTCACAATGATGCAGGCTCAGAGTGTTCCAAAAATTCACCAGATGAGATACGCTCGAATTATGGTGACACTGAAGCTGCATAGGTTAGCTTCATTTTGTGCCCGCTGAAGGTGCACTGGCATTGTGCGAAGCACTGCCACCTGCTTTTGCGTTCAACCTAAGAACAGACTGAATCTGCACACTTTTATGTGTGCAACATGATGCGCATAACTTCCTTGATTGTGTTATCAGGATGCTGATCGGGATGTTGCAGAGGCATTATAGCAAAGCTTTTGTTGCTTGCAGGGGTGCTAGACGGTCTGCTGCCCGCACTAGGGCACAAAATATCCACTATGCAACCGGAGGACAGGCACGTAGCCCTCTGGATGGACAGGGCGGCAATACTGCCAGGCGTTGACCCAACCCTGGGTGGGGCAAGGTGGTCGATCGTCTGAGGAAGCACTTGTTCTCACTGTGGTGGGGCTGGCTTCATGCTGGAAGCAGACTCTGGGATACCACCTGCTTCCTGGGTCGTTATTTTTCACTTCTACAGGTGAGAATTTGGGGAACTACAGGTGAGAATTTGGGGAACTTGTAGCATGGTGGCAGGTGAATTTCAGTGGTGGAGTAAAGGTGGGTGGGGAAGTACTAGTTACATACATAGGTGACACTTAAATTCCAGCTGCTCGAAGTTTATCTTCAGTTCATCAGTATCATGTTGTAAGTGTTCCTCAATTTTAATATAAAAGTGTTTTCTGCTGAGGTCCACCATGGCTGCGCTGACATATTTACATCGGGGATATGACGTAAAATATATACTAACAGATTGCAAAAAGTAAAAATAAGAGCAAGGCGGAAAGGTTCTGTCGCGGGGTGTGGAACCAGCACCGTCTGACCAGCGACCTCTCAATCTGCAGCGTGCGGTGCTAACCACTCGGTCACGAAGCGCATGCTCTCTAGACTGCTGATGGCAAGCCATTTATAGACACCATATACCGTTTGGAGGTCCTCGGAGCTCTGTAACTTCAGTAGGTTTCTGTTATCAGTAGCGAGATGGCGCGAAGGTCTCGCGTAAGGCGCGCTCTGAAAGTCGTCGCCTCTAGCGTTTCGATGAGCGCCACCTCCACAAAGTGCAGTCTCTCCTACGCTCATCAGACTCGTGATTCTGGAAAGAATGAAGGTCACGTCACTTGCGGTCGCGGCTGTGTTTACTGAGGGAACACGTTGCTCACGCACGAAGAAATAAAAATTGTGACAGTTGTTTGCACCTGGCCTGTGTATACTTGTGTGTTTGTATCCTGTGTCTTTCTGTTTGAACAGTGCGCTTTAGGGGTCGAGCTGTGACAGTCGTTAGTCTGCAAACGTCCTGTGTACACTCATTTCATGCATGCTTACTGTTTGAGATGCGTTCTGCAAGTTTCGAGCCGCATGTTATTCTTTGCGTGACTTTGCACTATGTTGCTGTAGCACTCATTTCTTCGCACTTGGGTGAAAACAATGCACAGTAAATGCTCAATTACCTTTGTAAAGACACGTTTCACTTTCGTTTTATACCGGCTTAGAAACAGGGATCAGCCACGTTTTTTTCTTTTTTTTTAGCGCTTTGCAGTGCACTGAAAGATGTCCTCTTCCAAGTGGTTGAAAGGTGTGAAGCCCTCGGCCTGACCGTCGATGCCCTTGTGACGGACCTGAGTGCCTGCAGCCTTTCCCTGTGGAAGCAGTGCGGCATCTCCACTCATCCTCCCTTCAGACGACCCGTCTGCTCGACGCGTCACCCTTGCTCCACGGAGCAGTCTGACCACCGGCGGCTGATGGTTCTTGCCGACGTAACGTATGTGACGAAGAGCATCATAGATGCTTTAATTGAAAACGAGGTCATATTTCTTCCCAGAGATGTGGTTGAGAACGAGAACACTGTCTTCCCACGGATAAGGTAAGTTTCGGCCACATTAGGTCGCTCTTCGCGAAAAACAGTGCCGATAATTTAGTACTTTTGCGTGCTGTCGAACTAAATTGCCTAAGCCCCGAATATACGCGAAAAGACACGAGCGTATCTGGCGCGGTCTTGAACTGCGCAACAGTGACGGGGCTGCGCTGCCTGCGGTCTGTCGAGCTTCTTCCGAAGGAAGCGGAGACGACAGCCTGGTTCGTCGAGCAGATAAAACGCCACTGATATTCTGCCTTTTGCATGCTTGCCGCCGGTGCACGTCTCGCCTTTGAACGCGAGCGTTTTGTCTGGTAGCAGCTTAAGGGGGGACATGGGTCTTGAAACAATTTCGCTTACTTTTTAAGCAAACTTAACGAAACTTGCCAGTCTTGTTGCTTTTTTTCTGCTGATTTGAAATATGCAATTATTTTTTCCATCAGCCAATTAGTTCTCAAGATAATTAGAGGTAATCCGCCATGTTTTTCCGTAACAATAGAAAAAAAAGTATTCATCAAAAAACTATAATCTGCATATGTCAGATACTAGAAACACTGGTGATTGCAACATAGCAAGCAGTTTTTTGATTAATTGCTTGTAAGAGATTTTACAGCTAACTGAACTTGAGCACTTGAAATAGTGCCACCAGTCACCCAGAAATAAAGCAAATTTAAAATTTGCTCGAAAGAAATTTCAAAAATCTGTTTGCTACATTTCAAACACCATCCCATTGGCTTTGTCCTAAAAAAAGAATTATAGCTCTATCTACCCGCAGTGCTGAGATATTGCTTCGGCAAGCTTGCAAGAAGTCAGAAATTCAGCTTTTGAGAAAATGAGCAAAAACACAAAACGTCAAATTTAATGAGAAACACCAGGAAATATTTACATGCTTACACTAGCAAGTGCCTAGTATCCACCAGGAACATAGTCCTTTTGACCTTTGTCAACTCTGTGGCGCTTTCCCAGGGCCTGCTTCACATTTTCAGCCGACACATGCTTTCGAGCAGATGCGGTCATCCTCCGCTTGTCCTTCTCTGCCAGGCGTTTCGAGTTTTGCCGGCCAGGGGTCAGGCTGAGCTTTTTGAGGATGCCTGTTGCAGCTCTTGTATAGCCAGCATTGAACTTCATGACGGCCTCACCGACAGCAGCCTCAACAGTAAACAGTGAAGCGTGCCGCTCCTTTGGTGCAAGCGCCCAGATCATGGCGTGCAAGCTTTCATTGTTATTCTGCGTCTTGCCACGCTGGCACCGCTCCAGCAGCTTCCTATCCGATAAGCGCTCGTAGACAGGCAGCAACGCTTCACACACATGGGCGGGCAAGCTGTAGCGGTGCTTTGGCGGCGGCTGTCCTTTGGCCTCGGCTGCATTTTGCCGGCACCACGAGTCAGGGCCTGTTGGACAAAGGCTGTGGTTGGGTGCATCATCACGTGAAGTGACATGTAAGTAGGTTGCCATAACAGCCCTGTGCGTTGCATCTACATCCCCCTTGTGGGACTTCAAGGCCCACCCATAATATAATGACAACTTGTTGACCAAATCTCCAGTGAGTCTGCCCTTGCCCCCAAGGCGATGCCCCTTGTGCTGGGAAAGCAGCTTTCGCAGGTTTGTCCCCATGCGCTTCTGGACGTGGTTGACGCAGTCCTCCTTCAGGATGTCCATGTAGCCGTACACCTTTTCTTCCTGCAAAGCGAGGTAGGCCCGACTGTCTCCGTCTGACAACACGGTTGTGTAGCGGAGGTTGTGTTTGGAGAGAGACCTTCGGAAAAGGATAAGTGCGGCCTCAACTTCCATTTCACCAGCTTTCTTGCTGGTGTTTTTTTGACATTGGTGGTTTTCCACCCACGTTTGGTACGAAGGGTCGTTCTCCTTAGGCTTCTGCTCACAGGCTGCACAGAAATTGCTCAAGACAACATAGTCCAATACAAACCCTGTAAAAAGCTCAATCACCGTTCCGACGCCGATGTGGGAAGAATGTCCGCGAGTCATCCAAGACCCATCGTAGGAAACGGCGATGTTGCCAGGTATGTTTGTACCGAGCTCGCGATAGAGCTCTCGAACGGAACTCGCGCACTCGGTCATCAACTCCTCGGAAGCAGAGGCCACTGCAGGGTCAGTTTTTTTTTTCACATAGTTTTGCCACGTCTTCGTGTGCAGACCCCGGTGCGATATATTCATGGCAGAACAAATGTCGTTGAGCGCCGTTTGACGATTGCCGGTGCTTTGCATTGCACGCGCTGCGAGGATGTTGACGCTGAATGGGTTTATGTTTTGGTCCCCGGCCACACGCGGCGAACTCCACGCTGACGAAATGTCACCACAGTTGACGCACGTAATCAAAAGCTTCACAGCCAGACCGTACTCCCGATCGCATTTGCTGATATTCACATCACCGCCGCAAGTTTTACACTTCACGCACCTCAACAAGTCATTCACACAGTCTAAGCTGATGACGACGAAGCTCACGTTGTCAGCCGAGTCGGCCGCGGCACCGTCACCGGCAGCAGCCAGGCGATCTTGTTTTCGCGTCGTTGCTGAAATTGACGCCAGCTCTTGTAGCTTGGCTTCGGCATTTCTCGCATTTTCGTGCAACTCTGCTGGCTGCAGGATTTTTGTATCAATGCGAACGCGGCCACTTCCACTCGCACTTTCACACGCTGGTGGAGCCGTTAGGCCTACACCAGCCGGCTCGGCGGCGGCGATGCTTGGCGCTGATGACCGGCCGTCCTCGACGCTCGCTGCTGGTGCTGCCCGACGCTTCGTGGTGTTAGCGATGAGGCTTTTTTTTCTTTTCTTTCCGAATCTGTGCACTGAGTGGAACTTTCCCGCTCGAGACGCCGACGCACACCGCTCCATCGTCGATCGCAGAATTCAGGAATGGCGCCGACGGGGGCCAGCAAAGCGCGCACAACGCAGCCAGAGCAGACGCCACAAGCCGACTTCAGCCAATCATGCTCTGAGAAACGGTCACGTGCACTAAACAACCAATTGTTGCATGCGTTTTTACTCTTTTTTGATGGTTGTTTTCTCCGCAACCAATAAACGCACAGAAGCCACAGTGGCGGGAATTTGAAGGCGAAAAACTGCTCTTTCAAACGATACCAAAATGGCCGCGAGTGCAGCTGTGGACATGGAGTTACGAATTTATAAAAAACTGGTTTTTGGTGTCCGGAGCTGCGCGAATTCCGCACGCGCACGGGCTAGGAATTTAATATTACAGCTAAAATATTGATCGGAGAGATATGAAAGTCAGTACACCTGTAAAAAAATACCTGTAGTTTCTGAAAATGCTGTTTACAAAAAATTGCTTTTTTGGCGATTTTTCGGCTCCAAAGACCCGTGTCCCCCCAGGCGTGAAAAAAGCCAAGTAGTAAACATCGAAGAAAGCCGATGACTAATGAACACGACAATCCCATGTAGAGCTTATTATAAGCAGATATTATTAAGGAGGCACGTGGCTTTTGAATCACAAGTAATGAAAAATAAAAACGATGTATTGAAAATTAAATTTTCAGTTTCTTGCACCTTTTTTTCTACAGTTGAACACGTATATATGGAACCCACATATATCGAATTTTCGGGTATATCCAACTTGAAGTTATTCCCTTAAAATTCCTTTGTAAATGTATATAAATTCGCACATTTATATCGAACGGCATTTTCGCCCGACTTCGGATATAGTGAGCGCCAGGCGAGCTGGAAGATGCGTTTCAGCACTCGCTGCACACCAGGATCTATGCGGCAGTGAGGCTCCGCCAAAATCCGAAACGCTATAAAAAAAAATAAGGGCATGAAGGCTCGGACTGCACAATCTCTGCGGAACGGCTTCCGCTTTTCTTTCTCTTCTTCATGCTTTCTCCACGTGCCCGTCGGCTCGGAGAGCAGGAACAAAGGAGCTGACGTCCTTCTCCTTTCACCTTATATTTTCTGTTGCTGTTTTGCGAGTTTTGATCAGCCAACCACAACTCGTGCCTTTTGCTGTTGCCCTCACAAGTGACCATCACCTCACGAACGCTTTGTTGCTTCTGTTGCTGCGTCGCCTACATACTCCTGCATGTGCAGCATTCTTCTTTACATATGTGGTGTGCAAAGCTGCTGCCGACTCCTTGAATTGTCAACTTCTTGTGTGGCTATGGCCAGCGTCAAGAAGCGCAAGACCCTTGACTTTGCGACGAAGTTGAAGGCTATTCAGCTTGTTGAGGCGAGCAAGAAATGTTCGACCGTTGCGGACAAATTCGGGATACCTCGGAGCACTATGAGTGCCTTCTTGAAGAACAAAGCAGATATCAAGGTAAAGGCGGCGGAGCAGCGAACATCCGGAGCCTGACGTGTGTGTGCTCCTGCCCACGGGAATGTAGAAAAGGCAGTCTATGCCTGGTTTCTAGAAGTGCACACGAAGAACATTCCGGTGGATAGCCTAATGCTGATGGGCAAGGCCAAATTGTTTGCCGCTGCACTCGATGAAACAACTTTGCCGACAACACCGGGTGGCTTCACTGATTTAAGCAGAACTACAACATTGTTGGCACAACCATTTTTGGCGAACGCGAAGCTGTAAGCAGTCTGGACATCTAGCAATAGACGACGGAGGAGTGGCCGGAAATCTCCGCGAAGTTTTCTCCCACAGAGATCTTCAACGCCGGGCGTGACGTGAAGATGGACACAGTGGTCAAATGCTTCTGCAAGGCAGGCTTCGAGACAGCGGAACTTGTGGAAACAGGAGAAGACGGCGATGACGAGCACATAGACGATGGGTTTTGCGAGTTGTCATCACTCTTTCCAGCAGCAGTTCCACACGAAGTGTCTGCGGACGATTTCGTAGAAGCGGACTGCAATGTCCAGGCCGTTGCGAGCCTCACTGACAAGAACATAGTTGCTGCGGTCGCAGGGACCCAGGATGCCCAGGCCGACAGCTCGTGTGACGAGGAGGATCGTCCAGACCAGGAGCTGGCTACACGCGCGTACTTCGCCGCTGATGTGGCAGCAGGCATCATTCGCCGTTGTATCGGCCACATGAAAGAAATCGGGCTGTCGCACTTGGACAGCCTTGATAAGATCGAGACTAGCGTTTACAGCTTCATTTCAAAAACAAAGAAGCAGGCCAAGATAAGCCATTTTTTTCACGCAAATAAATCATGCTGTTGCGGTGTGTACGGAATTACTTATCATTCTTGAATGCGTCTATTACATACTTGCCAAGTTCAAGGATTCTGAATTCGGGATATTTCTGCCATGGGAAGGGGGGGGGGGGGGGGCACGAATTATTCGCTCTTAGTTTTTTTTCCGGCACAAAAAAAACAACAACCCAAGGACAAACAAACAAAAAATACGCAAAAAAACAACAGGGAGTAAGGTCTCAATTGCAAGCGCCACCATCAGCGTTGCAGTCTTATAGTGGCTTGGATTGGCCAAACACACGACACGAGGGTAGGGTTTTCAACTAAGGTGAGAGTCTCAAAGGATCGACAAAACTAGCAGAATCTAGTATTTCCGTCAGAACAACTCACGTATGTCTTCCTGAGACACACGTGAACGTGACGGGACGGTGCAGCTGGCTGCCGCAAATGCACAAGTCAAAGCTTTGCTCACTACTAGATTCTTTTGACAGAAACGCCAAAACGCATCTGGCCCCTTTTCATTGCGATAGCAATTATATGGACAGCCTAATCTGGTTTATTGCCGTCGCCGCCATCATTCACCGTGTATGTATAAGTAGCTATATATGTGAACACTAAGAAAAGAAAAAAAGCCGCCCGCACTCGACGCCCAGCTCGTCGCAACGCGCCGACAAAGTGACCCACAAAGGTCACTTCGGTATCTGCACAGGCGCTGTTTGCGAAAAGAGCCCGTTTTTCGTACACAGCGAGTTATAACTGCGACACTTGTTGGTCTGTACTCATCCGTACCTGTGATTATGTATCGTGCATCGTTTTTGTTTGAACAGCGCATTACGTGTCGAGCGGTAAACGTTAGTTAGCTCTCATCATGTGTGTATCGTTTTCGTGCATCATTTGTGCATGAGCAGCAAGCTGCACGTTTCAATCTGCTTGCCGTTCTCAGCGTGACATTCTAAATTGTTGCTGTCACATACATTGCTGACACGCACTGTAGAAGACGGTGCGTTTGCCGGTCGCACGCATACTCCGAACCTTCGAGTACACTGCTCTCGGCCTTCGTTTGACAGTTTCCGTCCTAAAGTTCGTATCACTCGTCGCGATTAGCAAATGTGTTTGGAACGTTCAAATTTAGGCTCGATAGACATAGTGCGATTTGCCTATGAAATTTCACAAATTCGTATCTGCCGCGGTTTCGCATCACTGAGATTCTATTACAAATTATTAATGCCTCTTAAACTCATTTATAATAAAATGGCCACGGTTTCGCATCACTGAGATTCTATTGTAAATTATTAATGCCTCTCAAACTCATTTATAATAAAAAAGGGGTAGGTTCAAAGTATTGAACTGCTTTTTGTCAATGTGGCCAGAATCACGCACAAAAATTTCGATTTCCGGGAAATTTTAATGGCCACCGTAGGAACGAAAGAAATGGTCAAAATCCGGGAGTCTCCTGGCCAATCAGGGAGACTTGGAAGGTATGCTATTGTAGGAGATGGTCCCCTACAGGTAGACTCTCGCGGGCTGTATTTTTTCAAGACGATAGTCTTTCTTGGGGACTTTCGACGAAAAAAATTTGGTCTGTCCGTCTGCCTGTACATTTGTCTGTCCACCCTAACGATATCTCAAATGGCACCAAACGACCAACCCCATCCGCAGCGCCCACCAATATTGCTCAAGGTTTAGCATTCATAGTTGTGCGATTGTCAATTTAAAAAAGCATATATTGCGCATATCTGAGGCACCATAACAACACGTTTAGTATGTCTGCCTTTGTACTAGAAGAGGCACACACAAGTAACTCTAAGGACTGTAGCGGTTATGGCGCTGCGCCGACAGTGCAACGCGATGCTCAAGGAGATGTTTCCAACGCTTTGCTACGACGACACGGTGATGGCACCTGCCCGTCGCTTTGCATTCTACACCTTATCACCTCCGAGACTAGCGCGCATCTTTCTCCGCGGTCACGCGCGCCTTTGTTTTGGAAGATAACTGCCAGATGGCACTTGTGTCTAACGTGCCTAGGTGCGCTTGTTCGCCTCCGCTAAACGCTCGAGGCACTCTAACGCAGCGCCTTCAGAATACCATTCACCGACTTTTTTATATTGAATTTTTCATATGTCCAACTAATTCACGATCCCCTTTGAGTTCGATATATCCATTTCAAAATACCGACTGTGAAACTCCAATTATACAACTTTCAGGGGACATGCGAAAATTGGGGGACCCTTAAGCTTCGCCTATAAGAATTGAACGCGATAGCGAAATCCGGCCCCTAGTGTACCCTTCAATCGCTAAGTGCATACTTATTAATATGTTTTGTTATATACACACGCATGCACACAAACACGCACACACACACGAGATTGGACCAGCGCATGCTATCATCGCTGAATAGGCTCATTTTCGTCGTGACACCTGTCGAACAAAATGCGTTCAAGGGGCCCTGAAACACTTTTTCAAGTAACCATGGAATGAATTCACTAGAAGAGCTTATTGCCTTACGAATTCAACGCCATAAAAATTTTAAGAATCTGTCCAGTGCTAGTGGAGTTACAAAGGTTTGCTGCATGCTGCAATTGCATTATCTCTTGTCTCGTCCTGACGAAAGCGCTGGAAGCTAAGCAGGGAAGGGTGGCAGGGCAAAGAAACTACCGCGCCTCGTGACCTTGAGCACTTTTTTTTTTCTTTGAACGCACGGCTTTTTAGTGTGATTGTGCCTGCACGCGTGGACAAGTAGCGGCCTCTCGCGGCGATCTCGGTAACTTGACTTTTCGGCCGACACCAATGGCGGAATTTCTGCGACACGAGCTCTCTAACGCTATCTCGATAAAAACATCGTATAATACGGATGCCGTACCATCATACTTGAGTCCGAGAAATTCCTGCGAATGGAAACAAAACCGAAACCGCGTCACCAACAGCCTTCCATCTGAAAAATTAGACAAAGTGTCATAGGCCTCACTGCCGAATCGGCAGCGAGCAGGTGTCGGCTTCCGACGACACGTAGCTTGGTGGCGACGCGGTACTCGGTTCGTCTGATTCAATCGCTGCTGACTGCTTCGTTTTCCCAACAGGAGGCTTGCGTTTACGCTTCCCGTAAGCGTACTTCGTCCGGTACTTCGTCCTGCGCTTTCGGTCCACGCGAAGATCCATTGCGGGCGCTAAGCCTCGCGCTAGAGAAGAGTTGGCGTATCGGCGACCGTATCGGCAGGGGATTCGCAAACTATAGTGCGCCAGCGTGTGCGTAGCAGACGTGCGTGCGCGGAGCAGACGACCAGCGCAAGCAAGCGCGTCCCAGCAGCCACTCACAGAGCGCGCTCAGTACCACGTGACAGGAGCGACCAATGGGTGCGCGTCTAAGGCGTCGCGGATGCCTTCGCATTTTTTCTGTTTGTGCGTTTATTTTAGCTCGTAGAGTCGTGGTTTCACCGGGAGAAGTACGGCGGTGAAGCAAGCTTTCCAGCGGCACCAAGCTTTCCGCGAGCGGCGGTGAAGGCGCGGAAGTATCGCGCTCGAAAATGGGCCATTTTCGCGCAGATTTCAGCCAGCTTTTTGCGATCCGCAGTCAGAAAAACATTTTTTAAGCTTACTTTGAGATCGTTTTCGGCGGAAATATTTTTAGATATGATAGAAATGGTGATGCAGAATCCAAATCTGCCCTTATCCAAAATTCGTTTCTTTGCGAGAATTTCGCGATTTGATCCCCGCGTCCCCCCTTAAAAACTGTGTACTGGCCGTTGAATCAGTATAAGGAACCCAGTCTACAACTTTGTGGCTGTTCTAGTGCACTGAAAACCAAAGGAAGACACATGTTATATATAAAAACATCACCCTTTTATACATAAAACACTATTTCAAGTAAAACACACATTTTTGTCCCAGACATCCTTACAATTCTACAGCATGCCAGGGCTGTATGCAGTGTCTCTTGCAGGCTTATGTCGCTTTGCAAGTGTTGCCTTTGTTGAACTGCTCTGCAGGTGCTCCCTCCGCGATTTGTGAAGCCTGGTTTTATCCTTTTCAAGGCTACGACGCATGAAGAGATTTCCTGCACTGTAGCCTAGCTTCTCAGCAATTGCTTCATTGCTCTTCGTGGCCCCCTGATTAAAGCGGCTGATGGCTTCAGCCACTGCTCTTTCTACGCTGCGCAGTGAGGCATGGGTGGTCTTGGGGACTTGTTGCCAAATTGTAGCGTGTAAGCTCTCACTAGGATTCTGAGTGATCCCATCACTGCACCTTTCCAACAATGCTTTGTCGCTAAGCCTCATAAACACAGGCTCTAGTGCCTCACAGACGAAATCGGGCGGGCTGTTCTTGTGCGGTGGAGCAACACCACCTAGATAAGTTCAGGCAGGCCTCTTCACTGCCTCCGTGACGTCACGCACCTGGCTTGTCGACGCGCGCGCGCGCGAGCTGCTTGCGGCGCGGACGCTTTCCGCGCGGCGCCCACTACAGATGAGTAAAACATTAATTTCTGCATTGCCGCGATATAGGCATAGAATATAAAATTTCTGAACGAAATTTTATTCACATCAAGATGAAATAGTGTTGTTCCGCTCCATCTTGGCAGGACGTAACTGCTTCAGATTGCACTTAAAAGAAACGTACACAAGTCCCGGGCACCTGGCAAAATATTTATTACAATGTAAGTACCATGTATCACAAGGAACATACGAACTTCCAGCTTTTAGCAGTCATATTGACATCTATGACTACATTGTGCAACACAAAAACCGAAACTGACAAGATTAAGCAAAAAAAAAAAAAACAGGGCGCTAGATTATTCGTTATAATGTTTCAAAATTTATCACAGTGAAAAACTTTTAGCATCTGGTACAGTCATATTCACAGCCATAATCACATTATGGGGCAAACAGAAAAACACAACTGCTCTTAGAACGAAACTAGCTACTGGAGTATTTATTACAATGTATAAAGTGTATCACAAGGAACAAACATTTAGCATTTGGAACAGTCATATTCAAAGCCATATTGACATTGTGGGACAAAAAGAAAATACGAACTGGCCAGCTTAAAAAAAACTAGCCATTAGTAAAGCTTGCTTCATATTTTAGCGAAGGGGCCACTAGCAAAGTTTACTGTAGCGTTAGCAACTGTCTTTGCTTTGTACAGGCTTTTTCTTTCATGACACTGTCATTCCTGCAAGCGACATAGTTTTTTAGAAGCGTGTTGACAGCTGGTTTTAGAATGTTCTTGAGTACGGTATCTGGATGGTGGCCACTTGCACACATGTCCAACTCCTCGCCGTCGCTTAGTAGGAACTGCATGATGCTCAAGAGGACCATCCTTTGGTTGGCTTCTGCATGAAACCGCTGCTCCTGTTCCTTACTGACAAGGTGCTCTAATACTATCTTAGTGCCAAGAACAACATTAACAACAAAAGGCTGCGGAAACTTCAAGCCGCCTCTGCTCATGCTGTCAATGAGTACGTGCTCACTTTGCTGCAGTTCTCGGTCAGTGATCATGAGCTGTGACTGACAATCCTCACATGGCTGACGTTTAATTGCAGCATGCGCACATTAGCCTGCAATGTATGCCAACGCAGGCACGTCAGTTTGTGATGCCTTCAGGTCACTTTGGGTGAGTTTGATGGCATACTTTGCTATTAGCATCTCGGCATCAAGCTCCTGTTCCTTAGGTGCCAATGACAGCGGCATGTCTTCCAGCTTTAAAGTGTCCTGCAAGCGAATCTTTGTCTCCGCTTCGAATACTTCTGTGATTGACACATTGTAGTGAGATCCACACATTTGGCGGTACTTCCCGAACCTGGCCTCAAGGCAATCTGTTTGAAACTTCCCCAAAAGGACGTACCTAAAGCCCAGCTCATCAAGGCAATACCGTGACAGCTCAATCAATGAATACGTGCTTAGCCGGAGAGCAAAGTGGGTCTCCTTTGTCAAACCTCCAGCCGTGGTTCCCCTCCGGCTCCACCTGTCAAGCCAGGTAATGAACTGATCAAGGTACTGAACTTGCAAACAAGACATATCCTTCACAGGCTGCTGATAAACATCACGTAGTCTGTGCCCCTTTTCTGGAGTCTTAACATTTACAATGCTCCACCACCTGACAATCAAATCAATAAAGGTGGCCGTTTCCTGCAGTGCAGCCAAATGCAATTTCTGCGCTTCAAGTGACAAAGCTGATGACACAAAGCTGTTAAAAACTTTCAACACCAATCTCACATTTTGACGCTCTAGGTGGCTTGGATAAAGTGCTTTATAGCTCAGACCATAGGCAACCTTTGCAAGCTTGCTTTGTTCACTCTGGTACAGCTTCCTCAAAAAAGTAAACGAAGCTTTTTGGTCCTCACCACTTCCACAGCTTTCAAAAGGAGGATACAAAAACGACTTGTCATCATCCTTCTGATTGAGCCAATTGTTGCGTATACACTTGAGCAAGTGAACAGTGTCCACAACATGAAACAATGGCTGCTGCGGGTTGGCAGGATGAGGAAAAACAATCCCTGGCTCATTTCGCTCGCTAAACAGAGACATCATTTTCCTGTTTATGGCATTGTTGTCTGTTACGACCGCAACAACATGCAGACCAGCACTTTCAAGCCTCATGATTAGTGTCTTTAGAACATCATGCAGCTCCGTTGCTGTGATACGAGTTACCGGAAGGATATGAGCAACATCTTTATAAGATGAAAGCAAAGACTGTACCGTGAACACGTGCGCTGTCTTTGCTGGTTCCGCACAATGCGCAGCAAACCCTGTTAGGCAGCCACCTTTATATTCAAAAAACTGTTGCAGGTGTATTTCATCAAGCATGACAGTCACATTTTTTTCATGAGGCTTCAGAATGGTTGCTCTGCACTTAATGTACCTCAGAAAACCTTCTTCGCACTGCTCTTTCGAGGGGCTCACATCATGTGCAGCACAAACTCACTTGATGGTAGTGTCATGCGGCAAGACAAGCTTGTTGCTGTGGCGAAAAAACTTGTAAGCATGTGGAGAAATTGTGTGCAATATACTGCTAAAAACTAAAAGCTCTGCAGAATACCGCACGCCATTACTCTTCTTTGTTAGCAGCTTGCACTGCTCCTTCAGGAAGATTAGTGCGTCAGCCCTCTCATCATCATGCAGCTCATCATCACAAATGTCATCCAGCAAGGATAAAACAAGCCTACGCACTCCTCCCATCTTGTCCTCCTGTTGACGGGCCTTCTTTTCACTATATCGCTCCACGCTGTCTAGAAGGTTGTCCAGCACACAGACATCACGGACTTCGTCAGGAATGCACACATCATCCGACACCAACGGAGGGCACTTAAAATACACGGAAACGGACAGATCCTCTGTAACCACCACAGATACAAGCATCTCCGGAGCTTGCAACGCCGGTTCGATGTGGGCGACGTTGAGGCACGTCTTGCAGGCTGTTGTACACCAAAACTTCTTATTTGGACGCTCGTTAACCCGAGAAATCAGTTCACCCAGATTACAAACTTTGTACTGTTTTTCTTCGTTTTCAAACGCTGCTTGGGACTCGTGTATGGCTTTCTGGAGTAGCTCATTTTCAGTCCGCTTCCTTTTCAGTTCAAACTCTTCTCGCGGCGTGCGCGAATCCGAGATATACGAAGGGCAGTCTGGAAAAATGGCTGGGAAGGCGTCTGGAGTCAGCCGTGTCAACTTCATAGGAGCTTCAATGGTTCGTCCATCGCAGTCCGTATACGTTGACGTTGTGCGCAGGTGTTCCGACTTGAAGTGACGCTCGCAAACCTGCGCGTGACCGGAACACACAAAAAAAAAAACACCGATTAGAATCTCCTGGGATAATTACGAGAAATCTCGTTAATTCTGAAGGGGTACGCTCGATGCAGCTTACCTTGGGGTCCTTCAACAGCCTCACGTCGACGTCTCTTCGTCGCACAGCCCGCTGCCATTCCGCTCTTCGCTTAGCGTCTCTCGGAAAAGAAAACAAGCGGACTTTCGGACCATTGTCATAGTTCCCTCGACAGTTGGGTACACAACACCGCCCCATGTCTCAGGATACATTCGTCAACAAAATAAATTCGGCGGAAGCGGTAACTGCAACACGGAACAGCGCGCACGGCGTGGCCGCGTGGTCTCGTTCAACGACAGAGTGAAATAATTGTCACGGCTGCCGCCACCTGTCGGAGACTCGGACAACTTACGGCTCTGCCGCAAAGCTACGGGCTACCACGGTGCTCGCTCTCTCGAGAGAGGTCGCCCTCCTCCTTGCCTGTCAACATGCCCGGACACGCCGAAACGCTGCTGGTACGGCGTGAGCTAGGTGGTGTTGGCGTGAGAGGCTCGGGCAAAGTTGAATGACGTCGCACGAAGGCGCGCCGGAGTGAAGAGGCCTGAACTCATTTAGGTGGTGTTGGGTGGAGGCACCTCACTATTGGCTATGGCCCTGTTGAACGTGCACCATGAATCTGTTCCCTCAGGGCAGAGGTCATGTTTGGGTGCCTCGTCTGTTAATGACATGTGCCTTAGTGTGGCCAGCACAGCCTTTTTCATGCCTGGCACATCACTCTTGTGGCTCCTCAAGGCATAGCCATAGTAAGAGGTAATTTTTTTTATTTTGTCTTGAGTGAGCCTACCTTTTCCGCCAAGTGACCCACCTTGAGCTTTTTTTCTTTTCGATGAGCGTTCGTAAGGCAGCTCCCATTCGTTTGTGCACATGGTTGATGCAGTCTTTTTTTTCAACTTTTATGTATCCGTAAACTTCATCTTCAGTAAGGGCATGAAAGGTTCGGCTATCACCATCTGAAAGCATTGTTGTGTACCGAAGCTTATGCTTTTCTAAGGAGCGTCGGAAGAGGCGTAGGGCTGCTTCTACTTCCGTCTGGCCAGCCTTGCAGTCAACATTTTTCTGGCACACAGGGGCGTGCTGGACGAGCCAAGCAGCGTGTCCCTCCTCATCTTCCTTTTGTCCAGTGGCGCAGCCCAGGCAAAAGTTTGAAAGTACAACGTGATCAATAACTAAACCAGTGTACATTTCAATCATACAACCAACACAGATATGGGAGCTGTGTCCACGGGTAAGCCACGTGCCATCATAAATGACGTCGACGTTGCCCGGTGGATTGCCAAACTCCGCATAGAGTTCTTTGACGCGGGCAACGCTTGTGGATTCGCATTCGGCAGCAGTCGCACCGCAGGCTTCCCGCATGATTTTCATGTGGCTTTGATGTTTTCTGGTGAAGCCCTCGATGCGAAATATTCATCGCGGCAAAAAAATCCGTCAGAGCTGTTGCCCCTTTGCCGATAGTATTCATCGCTTTCATGGCACGCCAATTCACTTCAAAAGGCCTTACTTTGGCCTGGCTGTTTTCGGCAACTCTCGGTGAAGAAAACCATTCTTCGCGAAAGTCGCGACTGCTGCATGCGAGCACGAGTTTTGAGCACAGCCCATAGTCTCTTTTTCTCTTGGAGAAAGTCATACTTTTTGAGCCGCACTCGGGGCAGGGGAGAAGTCCAAATAGCGAGTCTATCGCTTCTATATCAACAATGGCGAATTGCGTGCCGTTTTCTTTGTCGTCGCCCTCCAGCTGAACGTCCAGCAGCTCAAACTTTCGTGCTGTCGCGCACTGTGATGCCAGGGACTCTTTTAAATTCGCCGCACATATGGAGCACTCGGCGAACTCGTCCGCAGCGTAAAACGTCGTGTCGGCACAACCTTGAATGGTTCCAGTAGTGCCGGATGACGATCCGCTGACGTGATGATCCGGCGAAGTGCTGCAGCTAAGCCGAATAGAGTGCACCGCTTCGGCAGGCATTCGCGCCAGCGAATCGTCGTCTGAATGTGCTGCCTCGGCAATAACAGGCACTTGCGCCTGCGAGTCGTCGTCTGAATGTGCTGCCTCCGCAATAACAGGCATTTCCGACAGCCCGTTGTTGTCAGAATGCGCTGCCTCGGCCATCTCCGGCGTTCTCGGCGGCGCGCAGGCCGCTCCCTTCTGCCGCGCATTCCACGCTCGCTTTCGTTTCCTGCCGAAAGCTTGACGAGTGTTCTTCTTCAGGCGAGCTTCCCAAGCCATGCCGGCGAAATGCAGAAAGACGTATACGTCGGCGACGTCGGTACACGAGCGGGTAGCAGACGAGATAACACGCACGAGAGCAGGCGCCGACGGAGCAAAACCAAACAAACAAAAAAAGAGCGAGCAACCGTGGCCGCGCCGCTGCGCCAGCCAATGGTAAGCGCGAGACGGGGGGGCTCGCCGGCGCGCACGCGCTCTTGCCAATCAGCGGTCCGGCAGACGGCTTCGCAAAACGGGGGAGGGCAGTCGTCGTGTGGTAGCTACGCCATTTTGAGAGCCCGCAAAACGCGCACAAAGGAACCAGCTTCAAAACAAGCCCAAGATGGCGCCGATCTGCCGGCTGCTTCGCTGGCGGCGCGCGCGGGAAGTTCGAACAAATTTTCTGTTTTGCGGGTTGTTTTGCGACTCCCGTGATGGTTTGAATATAGATTTTAACCTATTTTTTTTATCGAATTTAGCGTTAATAATTTGAGGAGAGGTGCTTATAGGTTCAAAGATTCGAAAAATGCATTTTTCTCAAAATCGATTTTTTGCCCATTTTTTACTTTTCTAAGACACGCATCCCCCCTTAAGGGGAGATGCGAGTCGAAAAATCGCGTTTTTAGCGAAATTTCTCGTATTTCTGATTTTTATTGCATTGTAATCTTCAAACCTTCTTCTTTCATCTGTGAAAATTTCAAAACTAAATTCGAACCGCAAAATCCAAAAAAATGTGTATGAAGGCATCGCGGTGGCTCAAAATTTCGTGAATTTGCGTCGATATTGGCCATCTTTGACTGCGCGCTGCTCCCCGTCGCAGTGCCGCCCGCCATCATGATCGGTTGGGAAAGTTGCGTCCGGCCTTCTTCTTACAGCTCCGACGACCGCCAGTTTCGTATGTGGGCGAAAAAAAAAAAAAAAACGAGGTCTTTTTATCACGTGGTTTGAGCGGTTTGAAACGCGCGGCACCCTAAGCCGCATCGCCATTGGCTACCGAGTCATTGTCAGCTGTGTTGGTGGCGGCCATCGGCATTTGGTCCGTCTGCCTTTCTGCGCGTCTACGCATATTTGCGCGATGACAAGCCCGAAAAAGTGCAACGTGAGACCGTAGAAGTTTTGAACGAAGCACAAGTTCAAGGGAAGGCGGCGTAAAGCGCCCCGAACGACGGCGACGAACGAGAACGCCCCTACGTGTGCTAGGCCTGACGGCGGCATCGACGAGTGCGCGAGCGACAGTGGCTGCGATGAAGGAATTGACGCTGCGCTTTCTTTCGTCAGTGCTTTGGAAAATAAGCTCGGCTTCTTCGAAAAAGACAAAGACAGCTCGATGAGGTTTGTGCAACGACAGTTTTGTGCGACACCCTCTTGCTGACGGCACTTGTGGCAGGTGCGGCATGCCCTGCTTGCGGTATTCAAAAACTTGCCGTTCGGGAGCCGGCAGAAAAGTGCAAGGGACTTTCGTCGCTCCTCGAACTTCATTGTGAAAACAGCAAATGCTCAGCGACTGTTCTTTCGTGCTCCTATACGTCACTGCGTGTTACGGCGGACGGCAGCAGCCGAGTGAGCCAACGGTACGACAGTGGGAGCTCCCGAGATAGTTTCGCTGTAAATGTGAAGGCGGTGGTGGCTGCACGCGCTGTCGGCATTGGGCATGAGCAATTGTCGAGATTTTGCTCCATTATTGGACTCCCAAAGCCAATGCACCACCGAGGATTTTTTTCGATAGCAAAGAAGGTGCACACCGCTGCCATGGCAGCTGTGAGTGAAAACTTGCGCCGATCCAGAGAGTTGACGAAAGAAGTAGCAGGCGAAACTGATGTGGCTGTTATGTTCGACGGCACTTGGCAGAAGAGGGGCCACAAAAGCCACAACGGGATTGGTGCAGTTGTCTCCTTAGATACTGGCCTCTGCTTAGACTTCGAGGTCATATCAAATTACTGCCTGACATGCAGTAGGCACAAGTATATGGGCCCAGACGAGGAAGTGTGGCAGGCATTCTATGGCCCAGTGTGTGAAAAAAATGCAGACTGTTCCTCCCATGCCATGGAAACGAAGGCTGTAATGCGCATTTGGCAGAGAACATTGACTTATGACACCCCACTGCATTTCATGACATTCTTGAGTGACGGTGACAGCAAAGCATATAGTACAGTTGCAGAGTCAAAAGTTTATGGTGCTGTCAATATAGAAAACATACTATCAGATTGCCATAACAAGCAACAGGGGGAGTGTACGGGATATGTACACTGCAGTATGGGCTTCGTACTTCCACTCATGCTCTACTGACAATGCTGGCAGCCACAAGTTTTGCCCTGCAGGAACAGAGTCGTGGTGCAAACATCAACGCGCTGAAGCACTTGGTGAACCTGCACCACGCCACTACTACAAGCTGCCACTCTAGCGTCGCCAGCGCGAAGTCGGCGACGGGAATGACAGCAGGTTGGTTCGTTCCGTACGCAAGCAGAGACAATGAAGAGATCAGAGACGTGAGAAAACAAAGCAAGCTTTACTCTAGTGATATGGCAGCACACGGGATCTGATACAACACTTCAATACAACTAACAAAATACATCAACACTTCATACAACTAAAAAATACATATAAGAACAATAAATCAGCTTACGCGAGAGGTACACAAACTAACAACAATAGAATACGGAGGAGAAAGTTCGAAGATATAAACAGGTGAAGGCATACGTGTGATGACCGGCAGCGTTGCATCCCCGATGATCGGATGCGAGAAGTCGAAGCGAGTTCTGGCACAACTGCGATGTCGGCGGTGTTGCAACGCTGGTGGCTCCGGGAGGCTAGTGCTTGCAGGTGACTTCGAGCAGGTTGAGCTAACTCGAGGCGAAGTCCCGATGTCTACGTGGCAGACGTTAATATCGCGTCACAACTAGACGAACGGCTAAGTTTAGGTGGCCAGCCGATACAGAGCCACACTAAAAACTTCTAGAAGTGATGCTTGTTGATCTGTTTCTACACCATGTTGGTCAGCGACTAGTCTGCCTAGCAGGGCAAAATCCTGCGCCTAAATCCCCCTCGTGTCTCCTCGCTCTCTTCCTTGGGGACAAGAGACCTCTACCTGGGTCCAATCATGCGCGTTTAATTGATGGAAACTCCGCCCCAAAAATATTTTGACCCCACCTCTTTTTAATTGGAAGAGGGCCCTCAACTAGCGAGCGTGACAACCTGTCGGGTTTTTGTCATATGGCTTGGCCACCAGAGCGTTTCCCACGCTTTTCCCCGTGGGAACGGTCAATTGTTTGGCTCTCAGCCGGTGCGTCTCGTAGTCTAATCCTTGTTCGGGGTATACCGCGGCCTTCTACGACCTTGCAGACGCCGCCGCAGTTACAAAAGGGTCGACTGTCGGCGGCGACGTTCTAAGAAGAGCACCCCATTCTGCACTTCTCGGCTCCCTTTCATGCGCCGCCGTTCTCACGGTCAGTCAGGGAGTACGGCGCCCGTTAATTGCCGTGATGCGGTGTCGCCAAAAATGGCCGTCCGTGACATTGCCCCCCACTTTCAGAATGTTATTCATAACATTTGTTCACACGGAGGAGAATTTTTTTGACAACAAGTAACAAAACACCTCCAACAAGGGAGACATGAGGGCTGTCCCTCTCATACACAACATAAATAGGCAGAGTGCATCAAAGTAACAACAAAAGGAAAAACAAACAATTGTTAGATTACCAGCTTCAGTTACACGCAACAATATCAATGCGCCATACAACAAGAAGAGGAAATAGCCGTGTACGGCAGCCATCAATACAGAATACACTGCACGAATGTATACTACGAAACAAAACGGAACAGGTGCGCTCCTCTACTGTAGTGCAATCCTTCAATGTGCATTACAACAAGTAAAAACAATCAATGCACCAAGCAAAAAGAAAATACTCAAAATACACTTCTTATACAATGAAACACGCACATACAAACAGAAAA